CCGAATGGGTTGGTTGCTTTTTAAAAACTTGACCAGCCCCTCCGAGGAGCTCCGAAAGGAGCGTTCTGCCCTAGTTATAACAAAATCTGAAACAACATAAACCTAACCAAACAACTCAACGTAAGGTTAACAAACCTAACCTAACCACAACAATCGGATTTAACGTAACCAGACCGCAAGCCAGGCACTGGGTTTATGACTGTAACATAGACGAATAGGGGGCCCTTGGTAGTCTATGGACTGAGGGTACCAAAAATGAGTGCGAATTATAGGGTACATAAGGTTCAATCGCAAACATTGTAAACAAACATGGCGTTCATTGGATGAAATTGCGAATATCCAGGAGCTATAAAACCTGAAGATAACGATGACATCCCAACGAAATGTAAACAGATGATGTGAATCTGGCGTTTGTGTATATTTGTTTGTATTCGGAAACAGTGGGGCATAAAGCTTGTGTTTATCTACGGATATTACACCGAATAAAACAGGTGATTCTGTGAAAAATCTGTGACGTGGATTAGGGAGGATAAAGGAAACGTGATTAAAAAAAAATTAATCATTCAACCTTTGTAATTGTCGATAGTATTTGCGTCCGCAAGATCTTATGAGCGTGGGCGTGTTTTCGTGTGATTCTCATAATAAACAGATGATTTCCCCGAACAGCATCGACCACTTGATCGTTGTAATGGTGAAGACTTGTGTTTTCTTTGAGGTACGGACTGGATCTTCAAGTACTGCTTCAAACGTGTTTCGTTCTTCTGCGTCGCTGCGTGTCTGCTGGAGCTATCTATTTCTGGGTCTGGCTTCGAGCCCAGGCGGAGGCGTTCTCGTCATGAAAATACTATGTGATGCGGCTATTTGTAGAGCCCGTGGTTCAACTCCCGGCCGGTCACCTCATAAAATGTCACGTCGCCATGTTTATTTTCTTTAAACTTTGCTGAATGGCTTTCTGTTATATTTGTCCATTGTGCTTCCCCCCCCCCCTTGTATTCGTGATGGCTTAGAATTACGCTCTGTGAACTGCAGTGCATCGTTGAGGAAGTAACCTATCGAGGGAACCCAGTTCGATTCTCAACTGGGCCACATGCCAACGGGAGGATTTTCCTGGTGTTCCTCAGTCTCCAGAGGTGAATGCGTGGCGAATGTGCCCTGTGAACATTTATAATCCAACCCATTCTGTCCATCATTGATCCCTGATTTATTTTAAAAATTATGTAAAGGGGGCATTTTTAGAACGTAAATACGTGTAGCAATTATTTCCTCCCCTGTCGCTGTGTGATGCAATGTTTTTTAACACGCATATCACGTGGTCAGTACAAACGACGTACCAACCTAACGCTATCCTTCTCGAGTTTATCGAATCTTTATAGTTCGAAGCTAATCTAATGTAAGTAATAGGGATATTTATAAATTCAGCGCGTACCGCAAAGCAAACACAACATATCTCCATGGCAAGGACCAATAGGAAATTGTAGATTTTTTCCTGAAAATCGCACGAAACCCACAAATGCACTGGGCAAAGGACAGAGTAAATGAACGTTAAAGGAGGTGGTTTAGTGTTGGGAGCGTCTGGCAGGAACCTTGTTTCAGCCGTTCTGAATATATTCTCGCATTTAATTTAGATTTTTTCTATAAATTTTGTACTTTGAACGCGATTTTCAAAGAGAATACTACAATATCGTAAACTGTGTGAATGTTCAATAACAACAACAACAACAAATTTTCAATCCCGTCAACTTCGACTGGTAATACAACAAAACAGTATACCGGTTAATATTTGTGTTACGACGTCTCCTTTCGTATCCCTTCTTTCTCCTCTTCCTATCCTTGTCCGAACTCTGTTTTCCCACGTTCGTACATGAATAGCACTTGGCA